GTTATAGGTGACAACTGAGGCATATAAGTCTAAAGAGCCTATGCTCAGCTGCTGCCTGCCTCAGTCTTAGTAGCTTAGCACCTGTCTCTGGCCTAAGCCCAGTCAGAAGCCTGTAATTAGCAACACCTGTCAGACCAGTAAAATTAGTACAGAATACAGTTGTGGTTGTGCTTAAAACACAGCTGGTGAAGATAATGTCCATCTTCACTCTTGCAGATGAAATACGTAAGGAAGTGAGAGCTGGGAGGACAGTTAACTTTTCAAACCCATCTTCCACCCAAGCATGTTCTACTTTCCATCCCCACACCCCTTCCATGGACCGGCTGATGGCAAGGGGATCTCCTTTCCTCCTGCTGTAGCTGTACTATTATGAAGCCAAGAATTCAGGATTCTTGGGGCCAAAGAGAGGGACCATGGTTCTGTAAGCTTAGTGGTTAGGGGGCACTGTTGGGAGAGGAAAGTCCTAGGTTTTGCTGCCTGTCCCTAGGACCATTTTGGTAATTTATCCATTGATGTAAAATGTAGCACCTGGCTTGCTGGTGCCTAAGTCTAAATCTAGTCCTAAATTAATTACTTTCAAGGAGGATCTGGGCTTGAGACCCTTCCGGGTTTCTCCATTTTAGGTGATGGTGGTAAATGATGCTCAACCTACCTTTGCAATGCACTTTGACCTAGGGTAGAAAAATGATCAATAAGTATACAGTACCAATTCCGTCTCTGCTTGACCTCCCACTAGAATTATTTGTATGGTGCTATCATCAGACCTTAATGCCCTATTTCCAAACTTATTAAGACTTCTGTGTTTATATAGTCATTTTTCATTTAAAAGCATAAACATACACAATGGCAAAACTTATGCCTAGCATATCAACCAGTGGAGTAATGGACTGTTTCTCGACACAATCAGGAGATATGCCCTTTGTTTCCCTGCACCTGTTGCTATATTTACAAATAAATTCAGCCAATGTTTTATTTAATAAAATACGTCCTAATGAAATTGTACCAGCCATTACCAGGAAGTCTATTGCAAACACTCAACAGCTGCTCAGTCTAAGAGTTCATTTACACTGATAGGGTTGCTTTGTCCTGCTTTTATGTTTCTAAATGAGAAGGCTGCAATACAGCCTTTAGTGTTCAACACAGCCTTGCACCAATTTATACTGCTGTCCTCATGAACCTCCCACAGCACCTGACCAGAATCAGTAATAAACAGAGCAGGAGGAAAGCACATCCAATGTTTTATGCTGGAAGTTGTAAGTCAAAGTTCAGTGTCTAATTACTTTGTGTTCTACAACCACGATCTTGCTCATTCTCACTCTGCAAGGCAGGTAAACATCTACTATATTATTATTTTGCAGACATTAAGAACCAAGATCCAATCTGGTCAGAGCTGCACAACTCTTCTGACTCTCTATAGCATCGGACAGGCTCACAGAGGAATCTGGCCATAAATTGCCTTATGAGTATCCTAGACCAAGTCGGTGTCCAGTCTGGTGCTGCAGAGCCTGGTTCTCAGTCCTCTGCTTTATTCAGTATAGCACACTTTCTCTAAAATTCTGAGTAGAATCCATCCCTTTTTGTATGAATATAAGAGGTTCAACCATTCTTTGAAAAGGCCATGGCATGCTGGCAGGTAGATAAGGATTGGCATACACAACAGGCTTCAGTTCTCAGTGGAAAGGAGGAACTCTACAATATTCTCTATGAACAATAAAAAGTACATCGTATAACAAAGGTATTTGGATACTGCATAACTGTGGTCTGCTTCTAATGAAAATGTCCTTCCTACAATTTCTAGTATTGCTCATAAAACATGATAAAATCAAAAGCATTAGCTATGAAGCTCTTGGGTAAAACATAAGCCAAGTGGTAAAGATGCATTACAAACAACACTAAAATAAACATGCAGTCCCCCAAGCAAAACAAGGCTTTGCAACCAGTCTTCTACACAATTGTGAAGCAAAGCTGACAAACGTCAAATCCGAAGATTTAGTTCTCAGCTGTACTGAAAGCAGTGGTACTACTCAGCATGGATCTTTAGCAGAATTGAGTCCTACTTACAAGCATGTAAAGAAAGTTAGAGATTAAAGGTTTCCAAAGTAATGATAGGAATGGTATTCATGCAGTCTCTCATGCTGAATGATTCCTCTGGAATGCTCTTCAAATGCATTCATGTCTGAAGTAGGGTGAAAGTTACACTGCACTGCAACAACGAGGAGAAAGGAGAGATTGTTTAATGAAGGAGCAGGTGTCAACAAGTGTCTTCAGTTAGAAAAGTCATGACAACTTTTAACACATCCTCACAGCAGACACTAGCATAGCTGCCTGGAAGAGAACACGTGCTTATAATGCACACTAGGTACTGAGATAGTGAAATGGAGCAGGTTATTTAGGTCCATAAGGGTTGCGGGGCTATGGGGTACAACAGGATAATGGACAACTAGGAATCTCCTATGCTATCCTCTACCTCAAGACCACCACCGCTGCTGCAGTCCGGCTGAAAACAGAACAAAAGTGTTCATTTACAGCAATTGGCAGGATCCCTGGGACATATTTACAATGGGACGCATCATCACTTTATCCCCAAGGCATCTCTGTTACCAGCCTTTCTCCTGAGTAGATGAAAGAGGCAGCTCCTGGTTCAAACAAATTAGAATTGACCTGGGTCTTGTTTGATCAAACCATTCTCCCTCTTTTAGTCTCTCTCCCTTTTCATTCTTCAGGCTGCTTAATGCTCTGTGGACCTAATACCACTTTAGTTGACATCCAACAGAAGTTGGAAGAGGCTCGAGTCCTTGTTATTCACTGGTTTAACAAGTTTGTCATGGAAAAGGTTTCATATTGCAAAAGTCACAGCCCCAACTTGCCTAGTAAATATTACAACTCTTTACTAGAAATCAGGCATTTGGGCACCATGTGTACCAATGCCATTGCATTTGTATTGATGCCTGTAGCACTGACCTGGAAATATGTAGACCAACTGAAGGATTAATTTTTTCTAATTTGCCAGAGAGAGACATAAAAATTCTTAAGTCCACTACTCCAGTAGCAGAAAGATTGGGTTTAAAATGCTAGTCTGTACTGCACCCAGACCACAGCAGATTTAGATATTGTACCACTGAAAAATATTGACTTACATTTTATTTTTTTCTAAAAATATCACCTTGCTTACAGGTTAATGATTTAGCTGCAAAAATAGTTGTTAATCACATTATTGTGAATAAAATAAAAATAGTAATCAGGAAAGAATAAACTGAAGCTTATTATACAAAATGGTAGGAGAAAAATCAAATGAGACCACTTAACATTTTATTGCAATAAGGACATTTTAATAGAATAATTGTTTAAATAATATTCCACTAAATATAAATACTTGTTCCCATTAAAGTCATCCTACTAGAGACAGGTATGTAAGTTAAAGTCAAAACCAGTAAGGAGAAGCAACTTGAAAATACTTTCATTTAAGAGTAGCCACATAACTTAAGAGAACTGGGTCTTCAAAAGGAGGTTGGATAGATATCTGGCTGGGGTACTATGATCCCAGCACTCGTTCCTGCCCAGGGCAGGGGGGTCGGACTTGATGATCTGTTCAGGTCCCTTCCAACCCTAGAAACTATCGAACTATGAAACTGAATGTTGCTCAGTACCTTCACTGTTTACAGGTCTGTAGTATTTGTACCTTGCCCCTTTGGTCTGCAAATGGATGCCTCATGTCCTCCTAAAATTTGTTATTGCTGGCATATTAAATTATAGAATTGTTCATCTCCTATTTTCTAACCATAAAATCATTTTTAGAATACATGGATGAAGTCAGTATTTTTGTAGGTGTCAATGTTGTAGTAGTAGACAGTGAAGTCTTAGATAGACAATCAGAGAACCATCCAGCAGCACCCTCTTCTTGACCCTAGCCTGTCAAGATGCGTCATAGTAGATCATTGAAAGTTCAGGGTTAGAGTGCAGTGTAGGTTGACTAGGCATAACAGCTGCACTGCCAGGTTGGTACAAGTTTTGAGGTCTAGATACCCACTTGCTGGGAAGTGGACTGATACTTTTAGCTCATTTCATACAGGTCACCGCAAAGATAGCAGGTGGCAATTTGACTAAAAGGAGCTTTTATTGTTTGACTGATTAGAGCTTATCATCAGATAGTTTGAATAAGATGTTATTTCATTTTAGCATGGAAATACTAATAGAATTTACTGCACTAAGTTTCCAACTATGAGAGTTCCAAACAATTGGACCACGACCCACTGCTGGACTTTTGTTGTTGTTAAGCTGTGACTAGCAATCATGTTAAGTTAGATGAGGAATCAGTGGTTTTGAGATTCTTTCCAAATACAAGAGTAAAGCCCTCTTCCAACATCTGTATTACACCATAAAGGATACTTTCTTAGTCTGTTGTGCAAATAGCATTTAAAAAGTAGACATTTAAGCCAAAGTTCACAGCCTTACCTAGTTTTAACTTTCACTGAAGTCAACAGGAGTGCTACCTGATTAAAGCTGCAAGATCTGGCTTTGGTACAGGAAGTGAAAGTGCTTTTTATGATAATAAGTGTCGTTTCAGCTGCCTAAAAGTTGTGTGTATCATTTTGCATAAGCTACAATAGTGGCCATGTAAGCAGATAATGGTACATGTTACAGAAGTGGCTGAAGACTGTTCTACATTGCAGATTGCACTTCAGTTCCTGATGTGAACTAAAAGAAATGGATTTCTGGCTGAATGCAACATGCTGAATACTTAAGCAAGTGGAGAGAAGGGTTTTGAGCCAGCATACTGTACCATTATATATGCACATCTTAAAAGTACCAAATGATGATGACAGGGTTCTATTAAAGTCATTCCTTGCAAAGAGTAGTAACACAAGTGTGAGTTTAAAAGCATTGTTAAGATTTCTGCCATCGCAATAGGAAAAAAAAAATACAAAACAGATTCAATCTGTTTCCCTTATACGATAAATATTTGGAAGAGGTGAAAAGCAAATCAGACCACATCTGTGAAATGTGCACACACAAAACATATATTTGCACAGTCGAAAATTAACATCTTACTTCAAAACACTGTAATGGAAAAAAGCAAGAGAGATCTGGAAGTCAGACACTGAAAATGCAAGCAATAACTAGCATTAATTCATCCTGGTGGATTCAGGAAATAATTAAATCTGTATTCACTATTTCAGCGATTCAGAGGAATGATGTCAAGCCTCAACTTCTTTAATACTTCTAAAACTAGACACAGCGTTCTCCAACATTTTAGCAAATAAGGAAAGCATGAGACAAACAGCACATTCAGACTGCTTTAGGATTTGAAAAACAATTTGGTCTTAGTCAGCTTTTGTATTAGCTTTGCCACCTGTACTTCTGAACAGGTGAACACTCTCTCACAGCAATACCTACTCAGATAATACAGTACTCCAGTTTGTGAAAACAGAAGGTTTTAACATTAAGGCATACACACATCTAAGTTGTTTGCTTTTATTCAATAAGGATTAGTTCACTTGTACTCAAATATATGGAATGCTGGCATGAAACTAAAGCTCCTGTGGGCATATCTATACACTGTCTGTGAGGTCTTTCTGACTTGCACTTCTCTGGAAAATACACCCTGAAATGACTTTAATCATACAAACTGAATTTGGGATAAAACTTCTAAGTAGCAGTCAAAATAAAAGGTTTGTTTTATTTGTAAATTCTGTACAGAATACACTTTTTTCTTATATTATGATGGGGAAAATAGAACAGCCGTGATTTCCAAACCGTGCTATTTCCTTCACATGCTGGAGATGACATCGTTCTCTGAACCAGATATACGAAGTTTGCATTTCTTAAGTGGGTGGCACATGATTTGGAGAAATAAAACACTGAAGTCAAAATCAGTACTACCAACTTGTAGGTCTCCAGCAAAATACTTCAAAGTTGGTTTTTTTTGTTGGGTTTTTTTGCTAAAACTAGTTTCTCTTACAATTTTCTGGAAAAGAAAATCAAGAAAAATATCAAGAAAGCCATAAACAAAGAAGTGCTTTACCTAACTAGCTATCAAATTAATATACCAGTAACTACCTGAAGTTTTGGTCATTCAACTTTTACCATTTTGCAAAAGCAATTTGGAGACGCCTAAACTTATGGAACAATTATGAAAGTACCAGGAAATGCCTTTAAGGAAACTATATTCTTCAGTATTTGAGGACTACCTGGACAATCTATACATCGATAGAAAACTTGTCAGATTGTAAAACTTTTGTAAATGTATTATTTAATAAATGTACCAAGTAATCAAGTTAATGGTTAAAAAAAAAAAAAAAAAAAAAGAGGGAACTAGATATAAAACTGTTTGATAACATGTATATTTCAGCAAACAAATTGAAAGAATGCTACTATACGTTTACATTTTGGAGATCAGCCAACAAAGAAAATCCAACCATTTGCACATATTCAGTCCTCAAACTACTGAGAGTTATGATTTTTCATGCAAAGGCCTATTTTCTTCCTCCTCCTCCTCCTCCTCCTCCTCCTCTTCACAGTCACCTTCATCTGTTTGCTGTTCAAGTTCCTCTTTTGTGATCATTTCAAAATCGTTTCCATTTCCACTACTATGCTGTGACCGGTCATCTTCCCGCCTATCACTGTCTGTGTCCGAATGCCGCTCTCCTCCTGAGCCTTCTGTTCCTGAGTTTCCTGTTGCCTCAGCTCTTCCATCTTCCTCTTCCTTCTTCTCACTATCTGATTTTTCCTCACTGTCAGATTTTGGCTGCTTTTTGGACTCCAATTTCTCCTCTTTCTTTAAGTCTGCTTTTGGTCCTTTGTATTCATGTGTATACAGCGGCCTGAAGGAGTCAATGAAACCCACGTCTGCTGTCAAATTTGGCAAGAACCAGAAGTGATGTCTTCCTCCAGTTATGAGCCAAATAATAAGGAAAAGAATGCACCGAGCTGTAAGAAGGGAAAGTCCAAATATTTTATAGTATAAATATTTACATCATGTAAATCACAACTGTGTTTATAAAACTATTTCTTCATTCCTGTACTTGAAATAAATTAGGATACCAGCAAAAACATCTAAACAACCAAAATTCTGGGCTTGAGAGATGGGTCAGTCAGCAAGACTTGGGGGCAGTGATCAAGAAGCGGGCCAGAGGGATAATAAAATGCTGCTAACAAAAGTCCGTTTTAACTTTGGGATCCTAAGTGTTGGAAACAGTAAGAGGGAAGTCTTTCCCTGCAATAGCAAGGTGCAATAATTTGTTCTTAGCCAAGAATTGTTTTCTATTATGTTGTGTGAAACTCTCTCAGTAAAGTATTGTAAAGTGACAGCAGTTTTCTTTAAATCACATTTTCCACCTGCCGTTCTGTTTTAAACATTGCTGTCTTCTGCTATGCACCGTGCAAGTCTGAAGGAAACTTAAAATACACAACTTTGATTTACCTGGTCCTTAATAATTTAGTTACATTCCCAGCTTTACTTGCGTTTCAAGCGCCCCCGTTTTGGTTCTCTGCCATTCCATAGGAGACATCTTTCATGTCTGCGTGGAAGGAGGGCACAAGGCCAAAACAGACATCTGGCAATAATCTGTCACTACACACCTAAATGAGAGTGTCGTCTAGTTTTACTTTCCTTGGAATGCCATCGGCAAGTAATACTAGGAGTGTGTAAGTTATTACCAGGTTAGGCGATTCAGCCTCTGCCCTGAACTGGATTTTCAGGAGACAACAAACGCCTTCCATGGCTCACAAGCACTACCTTCTAGTTTGTAGACATTAGTCTTTCTTCTCCATCGTCTTTGTTTCTTAAGCTTCTTTCCATCATGGTCACTATCCTCCAATGAAAAGACCCTGCTTCCCATGTCCAGTTTACTTTGCTCCCCATTTCATTAGCCTTTAGATGTGGGCAGCTCTAGTGCACGCACCATCATGAAATATCCAATGCACATATAGAAACAAACATCTCCAGGGGACACAGCAGTTTTGTCATGGGGAAGAAACTGCACTATATAAAAGAGGGTAGGTATACACTCCAATCCACAGCCCTTACTTCCATGGCACAATAGTGACATACAGTGGCCACTGAGGAAATATTCACATAGGATTAGGGTACAGTTATTTTAGATACTAAGAGTAGGATTTTCAGAAGTAACTGAAAGTTAACGGGACTGAAGCTCGTGACAAGTTAGGCACTTGGAATTTTAGCCCATGTTTCTGCCTGCTTTTTATAACCAACATCTACTGATTTACAAAAAAAAAAAAAAGACACTTACCAACAGCAAGAAGGAGAATACTGGCCACGAAACAGCCTGCACCTACACTGAGATAATAAACCCCTACTCGCATTTCTGCAGGCCACAGGGGGAACAGAGTTGCAGCTATAACAGCAATCACTAAACACAAAAAGAAAGAAAAGTGAAAAACAGAATATCCGATTAAAAACAACAGGCCTGTGAAGGTACATTGTTGTCGCCTATATTAATTTTGTACAGTACTTAAAACAAGTAATGCCATTTTGTAGTGCCATTCACAAACCTAGACTGGGCTCTCTCTTTGCCTTCGGATGTGCATATTTTTAAACAAATAGCCAAGGCACAAATATTAAAGAATATGCATAAAAGTCTATGAACTGAAGAATGAAGGGGAGGGGAGGAGGCATTCAATCTTACTGCAGTCTCCCAAAGGATACAGCTTCTGCTATCTGGCTGTTTGATTAAATCTACATGATTGCATACATGTACAAACATCCTCACCAAACCAAGTAGCAAAAATGGTTCTTATGTGGATTTCTAACCTTAGACAGCAGGTGCCTTTTAGGCCTTAACCTTTAATAAAATCTTCCAGTACACAGTACTATCTAATGAAAAACAGGTTATTGGTGTGCAAGCAGCAGAATTAGCTTACCCTGCAAATATTTGTGTCCAAACTGCATAAATAAAAGCAAGGAAGGTGAATGGCTATCAAGTACAACTTAAAATTTTCCTAAAACTATTGCTTTTGGCCAGCTCTTTAGTGTGTGCCTGAATGGGTACTGCACTGCACAATATATTAATTGGCTTTACATAACTGCAGTGTACATGTTAGAGGCCTGTGTGACCTAGGTAAGTATAGAAACATTTAATCTGTGTTTAGTAAGAATAAGAGATCCCCATTATTGTGCGTTTTTATAGCATGCATTTACTTCTCTCTCATAGGGACTGTGACTCGGAGTGTGCGAAATGGGCCATATTTGATTCGGATTTGGCCTGGATTGGGAAGAGCGATTTCAGTCGTTGATTCGGATCACTGTCCCCAATTTGATTCAGCCAAATCTGAAGATTCAATGCTGATTCAGAGAATCAGCAAATCAGCCATAGACACAGCTTTAAAGGTTTTTTCTACACACCTCAAGCTACCAGGCGGCTCATGAGTGCTGCGATGCTGGGGTGAATGGAGTGTCTCACAGGAGCATGGGGGGCGCCCCTGTGTGCTCGGTGGTGAGCCCAGAAGTGGACCAGTTGTAGTTCTGGTCCACTTCTGGGTCTGTCGCTGAGCGCGCAGGAGGGCCTCCCCCCCCGTGCCCTCCCCAGGTCAGCAATCGGTCACAGGGGGGACCCCAGGTGCCCCACCAGACCCAGTCACCAAGCCAGTGGGGTGTGCGGGAGGCCCCCCCACACGCTTCCTAGCGGACTCGGAAGTGGACCGGAAGTGCTTCTGGGTCTGCCACTGAGCGTGCTGGGGAGCCCCCTGCACTCCTGTGGGACACTCCATTCGCCCCAGCATCACAGCACTCATGAGCCACCTGGTAGCTTGAGGTATGTAGAAAAACATTTAAAGCTGCATCTATATCCGAATTGTCAAATCTTTCCGAATTGATTTGGAATGTTCCAATTTGATTCAGAGAGATTAAAGGGTCTCCTGTTTAGATTCGGATTTGAAGACTCGGCCACTGAATCGGGCTGAATCTCCACCAAATCGAATCAGGGACCAAGGCTTCGACAGTCCCGATTGTGACTGAAGCAAGTTCATAGATTCATAGATTGTTAGGAGCTGGAAGGGACCTTGCAGATCATGGGGTCCAGACCCTCCCACTCTAGGCAGGAAAACAACTGGGATTAAGTGACCCCAGTGAGGTGACTGTCCAGTCTCCTCTTGAAAACCTCCAGGGTAGATGACTGCACCACCTCTGGAGGGAGTTTATTCCAGTTTAACAGTATGAATTTGTGGTCAAAGTATCAATCAATAATAATAAAAGCTTCACACGCGTCATATTCCCTGAGCAATAGATATGCTTGTTTGGTAGTTATCTACACTAACAAGCTACTTGTTAAACATTCATTCTAAACTTACCAAGTATAAGTCCCATGGCAAATGTTTTAAAATGAACCGGGTCATAGATCCACACATACACCTGTAAATAAGAAGTGTGTTAAAACTGACAAAGTTCTCTGGTAAATCTCTCAAATTTACCACCTCATCTGTATGCATCTTTATTGCTATATTCTTATACTGTATTACTTTTCACTTAGTTGGTGCCACTCTACCCTCTAAGTCAGCACTGTGACAAAATACAGATGATGATAGGTCTATAATATGAGTCACTCTTTAAACCAGAGTCTCTGTACTTCGCTGTATAATGCTGACAGTCTTGTGACTAGAACCTCTTCAAGCTAAACAGATTGTTTCAGCATTACACTGATCTTACTCTATCCCAGGTAGCAAAAGGCCTCAGCAAAAGTACATTTTATTGAAAAAGGATACATAAAATGGAAGTAATTAATTTCATACCACTGCCAGACCTTGGATGTGCAGTAAAGTACAGTTGAAGGCTAGGAGCTTCCAGCACCTGAGAAGTACTGTTACTAGATTATAAGATTCACACCCTTCATGGGTGCTTCTGTTCTTTTACTTAAAAGTTTACTTAAGCACGTGATATATCCGTCCACATTTTAAAATTCTTCAAACATTAATCCTTATAACAACCATCTGAAACAGACAAAAGAATTTCTTTCATTTGGCCATCTGATATTAGTAGAGAGATGTATATTTCTACTTAGGACGGGAAATTCTAGCACGAGATGGGCAGGAACTTCTAGCTCTCAAAGTCGTTTTCTCTCATTTTCAGCCACTAGTAGATGCATCTGTTTTGAAACATTTTTGTCTAACGTTGTCTAAAAGCAAATATAACATGAGAACTTAAGAGGAAATAAACATTCTGGAACTGTCAAATCATACAAGTGAAAGACAACATCGAATCAAGATGTTTATGAAGCCATAACCTTCACTAAAAAAGCCTACTGAAGTTTCCAAAATATATTTCTGTGGGTCAAGAGGTATCCACAAGACAACATGGAAATGGGCAGCAAGATGAAGTCCTTGATAAACGACAACTGTATGAAAAAAAACGAGGCCAGGGAGTAGATAAATGGCAACTGCATCTAGTGTACTGGATAAAAGAATAATCCAAATTCTACAGAGGTGTATCACACCATATCAAAAGGTTTAGGTGAAGCTATGCAGTCCATCTGAATCAGGAATTTACCATCCCTGTAGAAAAAGCTTCTTGCCAAGTGTAGAAATTCTTTGAACTAGTAAGATTAATGATTGTTAATGAAACTATATGGAGCCTTCAGCCAGCTGTGAAGATTCAAAACTAGTAGTCCCTGACAATAGTAACTCATCATTGTTACAGCTGAAAACATGATGACCAATAGGACTCCTTAAGAGAAGAGAGAATACAGTTCTGCAGTGACACAGCTCAGTACAATGAGTAGTACCAGTTCTTCTACACACAGCTAGTTCTGCAAAGAGCTGAGCCATATGTGGGCCTAACTGATGCTGGTCGACTAGGAAAGTTCTTTAGAGTTCTAACAACAAAGGATTTGAAAACAGAGTCCTGAATACATTGGGACACCGCCAAGTCTGGCATAGCTAGTTTTGCATGGAGAATTAACAAGTCAAATTATCAACAAAAACCAAGAAGGACAACGTCTGTAATTCCTGCTCCTCTGGGTGTGTTCATCCTGCCATACAGCTGTGTGTGGAAAAGGTTGGGTAAGTGGAACTTGCTGCATTTTTAGTGGCTGCGTTAGCCTGCTCACATGACCTATAGATTTGTTATATACACTGGATACAATTCTCATATACATACCTACTATTTTAGGTACTCACCAATTTTGTGAAGGGAAGGGTGAAATACGATATATAATCTGCAGGATTGGCAAGAATCAGCTGCATCAATTACAGCGTATTTGGTCTCTGCATGAGAAGCACCTCTCTCTATAAAGGGGCAAAATCACCAAGAAGTATAGGAATTTCCACTTGTCTCAAGTTATAGGTATAAGAATAGGAGCCCTGATGCTACGGCATTGTTAGAGAAGTAAATTATGTGTTTTACAGAAGAGGCAAGTGGAACACAGAGAGGTTAAGTGACTCGCTTGAAGCCACACAAATAAGATGGGCAAGATGACATAAGAATTCAGGAGTACTTGGTTCCAAGTTGTATGCTTTCATCTTGAGGCCACGTGGCCTCTCCATGGCAGCCACCTCCCCTGTGACAATCTTCTTTGTTATTTAAAAACTGCATCAAGAAAGGCCAACAAGTTCCCACCCACCATTCCTTTTAGCAACAAAACAAGGATAAATCACTCCAGAGAAACCCAGTAACCTGAGTATTTTGTCACCTGTGACCAGTATAATGACAATAAACATAGGAAATAACTAGAAACCTCACCTCATTTCCATCCAGGAAAACTTGATCTTCATGTGGCTCAAGTTTAAATTTCCTCTTTGTTTCCTTTTTCTTGGGTGTCCCTGGGGTCTCCTCCTAAGAACAAATAGCAATCGTAAAACAACAGGGATACTAACAAGCAAACTAGAGACTGGGAAAGGTCTTGGATTCACAATCTTGAAAATTAAAGCCCTTAAATTATTCAAAGGAAAGATATAGTAGATATATATGTTTTCTGCCTCTTTCTTGAGCAGTGATAATTAAGGGAATTGTAACTGTACCTTAATGATTACTACCTTCTAAAACACAAAATTAAGGGAACTAACTGCAGCTGTACCTAATTGTGCATCTTAGCTTGGAAGGGTTTCACCAGAGGTCCCATGATAACTTTGGCCAGCTCCTTCAGCACTCTTGAATGAAGTTCATCTGGTCCTGCTGACTTACAAATGTCTAACTTTTCTAACTGATCACGCACCATCTTAATGTCAACAGTAGAAAGGCAGTCATTCCCACCATGCCCATTCTGAACCTTATGTAATATGATTTTCCCCTTAGTCTGGTGAAATACCAAAGCAAAGTAGTCATTCAGGAATTCAGTTTTCTCCTGAGTGTCAGTAACTAGCTGTCCTGAGTTGTTAGGCAGTGGCCCCACACTTCCATTTGTTTTCCTCCTGTTCCCTACATGCCTAAAGAAGGACTTATTATATCAGGAGGCACTACTTCACTGTCAGGGTGGCTAGGACCTGGAACCAACTTCCAAGGGAAGTGGTGCTTGCCCCTACCCTGGGGGTCTTCAAAAGGAGGCTAGACAGCCACCTAGCTGGGGTCATTTGACCCCAGCATCCTTTCCTGCCCATGGCAGGGGGTTGGACTAGATGATCTGCTTAGGTCCCTTCTGACCCTACCAGCTATGAAACTATGACTTCCTATTGTCTTGGATTTCTGTTGCTAGTTTAGTTTAAATTTAGTTGCCGCCTAAGCCTTTCTAATCTGCTCCCTACAAGTGCAGGCCATTGTTGTATAGTTCTCCTTGGGAACCGTCCCAAGCTTCCCTTGTTTGTATGCCTTTCTTCTTTTTCAAGAGGACTATGATATCCCTGTTAAGCCAAGAGGGCTTACCAGCCCTTCTGCTACCTTTCCTCTGCATGGGAATGGGCTTCTTTTGTGCATCGAAGAATGTGTCCTTGAGGAACGACCACTCTTCATGCGCTCCTTTCACCTTCAGTCCCTGGTCCCACAGCACTTCCCTGCTATTACTCTGAGCCTGCTGAAATTCACTTTTTTGAAGTCCAAAACTTCAACCCTGCTAGCTGACTTGCCTGCTTGCGATGGACAGTGAATATGATGGTTTTGTGGTTGCTGTCGCCCAGGCTACCCTCTATATTCAAGTCGCTCAACAGATCATCCCCTTTGGCCAAGACCAAGTTTAAGAGCGCATTACCTCTCGTTGGCCTGTGTACTTCCTAAGTCAGATAGAGCTCTTTGATACAGGTCAGGAAGCAACGCAACTGATCTGACTTAGCTGAGTGTTCCTCCCAAGAGATGTCTGGGTAATTGAAACCACCCATGACAACCATATCCCGTACGTGCATGGCTTCTGCCAGTTCTCAGTCAACTCCAAACTGAGCTCCTCCTCCTGCTTTGGTGGTCTGTAGTACACACCTACAGTTAGGTCTCTCTCACCACACTCTCCACCCTGAGTTTGACCCAGAGGGTTTCAAGCTGCTCTGCTTTGGAGCTGATGTCAGCCTCCAAGGAGGTGTTTTACATTTATTATGTATTCTTCAACTTACTGGCAAGTCCATCCCTCAGTGAGAAAGTTAGATTTTTCTTTAGAACCAAAACTCCTTCTGCCCTTTGTGTGTTCATAAACACAAGAGCTAGATGGTTTAGGGGTATTATTTTTTTCATTAAAAGTTGGCTTGTTCAATATAAGTGCCATCACTTCCACTTAAGAGGACACAGATCTGATGCATAAGTCAGGTGCCTAAAACATCTGCTTTACATCAGTTCAATCTTTGGTCTTTGGGCTGACACTACAAAGTGTCCATTCCAATATTATTATAAAACTCCTTTAATAGTAGTGCAATACTTCGAGACGATCAGGACCCACCTGAGGTATTTAATCCTAATTTGAAGTTTAGTGTGCAGTAATATAGAAGTTAGGAATTTTGAAATTACATATACAAACTATGTCAATTTTATAAAAGCTTTTAATAATGCAGGCCATGTTTTGAACACTGAAATGACCCACCATTAAAGCTGTTTAAAAATGCTGAACAACAACAACAACAATAATACTGCTACAGAAGCACTCTTAAATACCAGCCAAAATTTCAAAATGAGACTTCTAAATATGGAGCTGTGCACAAATTGATGCACTTTGTTATATACAAGCAGATGCTAGAATATACTTGGCTAAGGCAAGTATATTTTATTTGGCACAGTTTGTTCCAGCTGAACAAATTAGAATTAGATATGGGAAATAGAAACTAAGAGCATTTTAATGAAATTCAGTTTTTTTTTCCTTTTGTGGGTTGCACTTACCTTTTTGCACTCTTCTTTCTCCCCTTCCTTTTTCTTTTCCTTCTCTTTCTCCTTCTTAGTTTTTTCATCTTTGCCACTTTCCTTCTTGATCTTTTTTTCATCCTCTTTCCCACTCTCAGCCTTTCCTTTTTCTTTTTCTTTCTTGATGTCCTTATCAGGCTTCATTTTCATCACTTTTAGTGCTCGGTGAAAGAACTGTTTCTTAAGAAGCCTTACAATAAATGAGGTTATACATATAAGTGCTTTGGAACAGCTGCATTTAAAACATAGTTATGTTGTTAGATATGTGCAACAGAGTAGCTGAAAGAGTCACCCTCAGCAG